TCTTTCCCTGGTTAATTTGAACAGCGAAATGAGATGAACTTTTCACCACCGCATTTCACTTTCTCGTAAATTAATTCGGCATGTATAATTTGAAATTAGCACATGATGGAATACGTAGACCTACTTTTAATTAACAATTCATTTCTTCAAATTCTGTGAGGGCTAAGTAGAACCCTAACCCTAACGACACCTAATAACAGGAAAACACACATACCCTCACACACATTAACGGGTTCAAAAGTTGAATGATTTGACCCTGCTCTGCTTACGTTGGTTCCACATAATGAGGCAAAAAACCCACAAATTATGTGTCTCTTGTACTCTGTTTACTTACACTATTACTGTGTCATTCTCTCTCTCTCTCTCTTGACCACACCACTGATGCCAACGAACCTGATCCAGCAGATAATCCATTCACATAAAAATAGACACTATGCACGCAAAGCAAATCTAAGTTCCATCATTGGCCTAATTGAAATCACTTCCTCTCACCCATTTCTCTAAACATTTTTTTTTCTTCTTGGATGTGTTATAGTGTTACCGTAACTCATCTCTAGTACTCTCTCTATCCCTTCTCTGAAACCCTTTATATTAAAGGGGCACCGCTTTGGACCATTAAGTTGAGAGCTGAGGGTTGAAACTTGGAACCAGTTCATTGTTCAGAGGAAGATAGAAATACACTTCTTCAAGAACTAGGGTTTTTGTCCCTCTCAAATTCATTAATTGAAAAGAAAAGAAAATCTTCAAATGTTCCCTTACAGTTCCACCCCTTACCCTTCCTTCCCGTCTTCATGTTCTTCTTCATACCCTCCTTTTCCTTTTCTCAACCTTGACAATGCTTCTGCAAGCAACACCCTTCTTCATGATCCACTTTCTGTGCCTTACATACCAACTCATAATAACCCTCCAAGCATCCAAGAAGCACTGAGCAATTTGCCAGTCACAGTCACAGATCATAACTGTGGTGGTGGTGGTTCTGCAATGACCAAACCGAACCCAAGTGGTGGTGGTGCTCCTCACTATGGCATTTCTTGTTTCCTTGCAAAGAAGCCTGCTAAGAAGGACAGGCACAGCAAGATTTACACCTCTCAGGGTTTGAGGGACCGAAGGGTGAGGTTGTCCATTGAGATTGCTCGCAAGTTCTTTGATCTTCAGGACATGCTAGGGTTTGACAAAGCCAGCAATACCCTTGAGTGGCTCTTTAACAAGTCAAAGAGAGCAATTAAGGAGCTGGCAAGGAGCAAGAGCAACAATAGTGAAGAAGGAGCCAAGAGCTTCTCTTCTTCATCCGAGTGTGATGATGACTGTGAAGTTGTTTCTGAGATCAAACAGAAACAGCAACTCATCACTTGTGATGCTGCTACTCCACACAACCTACAACAAGGGTTAGATTCGAGTGATAGCAAGTCACCAACATTAATGGCTGCAAGAGAGAGGATGAAGTTGAAAAGGTCACAGAAGGAACCTGCAAAGATGAAGGAGTCAAGGGAGAAAGCAAGAGCAAGAGCAAGGGAAAGGACTAGTAACAAGATTATGTGCAATGTGAACACCAACACAGGGAGGGTGCAACAAGACTTGAAGAAAAAGTGCCCTGCAATTGAAAATAACCACTCTCAAATCATGCATCAATCAAGGTCACCTACTCACCCTCACCACCTCATGGGAAGTGAAGCACCTAGAGATGACTTCAATGTTATTGAGGAATCCATTGTGATCAAGAGAAAGTTGAAGCCGTCCTTGATGTCCTCTTCTCATCATCATCACCAAAACCTTGCAATCCCTAAGGAACCACCATGTTTCAACAACAACAGCAGTGAGTACCACCCCTTCTCCAATTTGTCTCCAAATTGGGATGCTAATGGATCCACTGGCCGCTCCAACTTCTGTGCTATAGCTAGCATGAATCTGTCCACAGGTATGTGTGTGTTTCATGAACATGATACTAATAGTGTAATACTAAAGCTAAGTGCTCTTCTTGAAACCTTCTATTTTGATGATATTTACAGTTCTATAAGTCTTCAACTTTCAGGGCTTCAAATCTTTGGAAAGTCTTGGGAGGAGTGCACCAATCCACGTTTACACTAGTGTGTGTGTTTGTGTGTTTTATCTTTCCCTTTTTTTTTTCAGTATTATCAGATTGAATGCAACTCTTCTAGTGGCTTGCCAAGGAATCATGAAGGCATCTTTCTGTGTTTTCCACCAGTAACTTTTCTGTCCTATATTCCCTTTCCAAAATGTTTGTACCTCTTAATCCTTTGCTCATCATCAGCCAATGGCGTGTGACAGTTGGCACAAAGGTTGCTGCTGCGTGTATTGATTTCTGACCAATATTTAAAGTGTGGTTGGCATTGCATAATGCCAATTAGTTATCAGGAAACTGTTCCTTCTTGCAGATTTTAATATTTATATATTTGGTTAATATTGTTCAACAGTGAGTCAGTGACTAATATTTATATATTCCTTCTCCTTGGTTATTAAATATAAACATTTGAAGCAGTTATATACCTTGTTGCAAGAGGAGGTGACACAAAAGAAATCTCTAAGTCTTTCAGCTTCTGTTTGTAGTTGAGCTATAGATGTACGGGATATGCTCCTGCTGATTTGAATTCTTAATCACAAAACTGTGAATACAACACACACATATAAAATATGCTAGTTTTCTATGCATAAAGAGATCACATATGGATGAAACTCAACATAAATACGGAAAATAGAAGCTAACCACGTTAAAACATCACAAAAGACCAGGAAAATTCATACAAGATTGTCAAAATCCTATAGAAATTTGTTACAAGCTACAACATAATGGAGGTGCATTCTTTTGTATCCTTGACAGTGTGATTTACGTTTTTTCTTTCTTTCTTTTTTACAGTAGCGGTTTCAAGTTAAAATAAACTGATTCTTGTTGTCTCATTACCGTTTGTTGTGATGTATTAATTTTCTAAATGCGTAGACAGATTGAAGCATCAGTTGCATAATTAAATATGGGAATGGACACAGGTATTTACTCATATATACTACTATTAACATGAAATCATCACTCCGGTTTTATATGTATTTGATAAAGCATACATTTTATGCATATTTGGAATCTTAGCTTTCTGATAGATTTTGTGAATAATTTCATTTTGTCACATCATGTCTTTGACAAGTTTTTACGCTAAGGGAAGATATTCATCTCTTCTGTGAAATCCTTGAAAAATAATTGTTGACCGTTTGAGTTCTAAAATGCTTAAACAATAGCTGCTGAAAATGACCTGCTATATGCTATTTCAGATTGCCACAATGACAGTTAATTCAATACAAAATAGCAACAATTAATTGTGAGTAGAAGAAAGGGTGATATTTTACACCAATGAAAATTTTTGTTAGAACTTGCATTTGTTCATCATTGAAGCTTATACAAGATCACTTGGGTGTATCAAATGCATGAGTTTCACCATCTTTTTCTTCCAAAGAGTAAATTGAATTTCTGAAAACAAGGTATAATGATACGATTAGCACTCATCAGTCCATGTATAAAAAGGCTGTTTCTCTCCAGAGATTTAGAACAATTATAAGTTTTTCTATTCTGAATTTCTTATCCGATTTCTAAACTTTTTAGTAATTTTGCTATCTTCAAGAAATGAAATGGAAAGGATTGGTACTGATGTACTGCAAAGACAAGGATTAGTAGCTCAAATGATTTGGTTTTTGCCTGAATATTCCCTAATTTTTATGTAATGTTGATTCTTTTCTACTTGTACAAACTGGTGTTGTGTTTATTCCCCTTAAATTATAGGATTCTCAATTCAACAACAATAAATGCAAGAATAAACGGTATCATAGAGGTGTGGCTGAAATTTTCTTTGGTTTTCATTATTTGCTTTAGTCTAAAAATTATAGCCACTCATGTATGAAATGTGAAGATATTGTGAACCTTTATGGTTCTATTATTTTTGTGTCATTTGAAAATATCTTTTGTAAAGACTTGGACCAGGATTAACAAACTAAGATGTAAAGATTGATACAGCGACCTGCAGAAATCCCTTTTCCTTCAAGTATAATTCTTTAGGGTTAAGGTTCATATTTGTTTTCCAAGTGTTTATAATGATCTAATCAATAACTGCAGAGAAATGCTAACAAAGTTTTTAATATACTCACTTTTATTAGTTAAAATTTGTTAAAAATAAAAAATAAAATCAGTTTCACATTTTATTATGCGATAAATCTCTCTTTAATTTTCAACAAATTTTAATAATAAAAAAAATTGTGTTGCTAACATTCTTCGTAATTATATAATTGGAATAATTTCTCACTCTATTAATGTATCGTAATCAGTTTTTTCTATAAGCAAAATGGCAAGGCCACTGTAGAGAGAGATATGATGGAATTCATTATCATAAACAAGCTCTACAGACAGCCTGAAATCACTGTTTAGTTTGAGAATCTGCACCGATATTAATATCTTCCATTGGAAATTTTCACCGATATATGGTCACAGTTCCTATGGAAACAACTTTTATATTGAATTAAGATCATTTGTTATTTTCGTAATAATAAGTGAAAACAGTTTTTACTTGGCCAAATTTTTCCACCACTTTTATATTGAATTAAGATCATTTGTTAGGTTCAACAATTTTTTATTAAGACATCAAATCTTTCTTTTTTGGTCCTTTCTTTTTCGAAAAGTTGAAATAGTTGAATAAGATAAATCAGAAGTAAAATTACGCACTCAGACACGTGATTTGGTTTCCAACGATATTTTGCTAATGGCTTTCACATAGTTAATTTGTATGTGCTAATTCGTAATTTGGTGTCTGATATTTATTGATTCCTTCAACCATTTCTGTTTCAGATTACTTATTATACATTGCATTAATTGGAAACTCAAGCATATTAATTCCCTTTCTACTTTAGTTGAGTAAAAATTAGTCTTTCATATTAATTCATAAAACTACAAAAAATGTTAAATAAGTTTGTAAAAGTTGAAATTGATACTTACATTAGTCCAAAATAAAATAAAAAATATACATAATTAAAATAATAATATTGATATATAATTAGAGACTAAAATGACAATAAATACTTATTTGGCATTTTAAAAATTTATTTGACATTTTTTTAATTTTTTGAACTAATGTAATAGTCTTACTACCTTCAAAAACCAAAATGACAGTTAACCATTTCTAGTTTCAATTTGTTCATAAATTCTAGAATACCCAACCTACTAATTAACATTTGGGAGCTTTGAAGATATATCGAAGAATTTAAGTGGATAAGAAATTGCAATACAGTTGTGTTAATCGACGTGTAGAATTCATTGCAAGGTGGAAATTCATTGCTTGTACCTAGAATTTTAGACCAATAAAATTTATAACTCTATCTGTTTGAATATTTATGGCTTTACAGCATAAGTTCTCTAAAATCAATTCTTTATTAAATGGTCCTACTTGAACATGCAAACTTTAAATCAATTCTAGATCTACTTCTTCCACTTTCATCTTGCATGCAAGTGTATACAGCTATTTAATGAAACTAACCTTTTCCTCTATCCCTTTCTTCATTGACTCCTTTAGTCCCTCTTTTGCTCCTTCTGTCTCTATCTATTTATCTGTCCAGACAATGAAGAGATCCATTAGGTTTCAATCAATTTTTTTATTTAACTATTGTACTTGGTCATTTAAAGCACACCTTAGCATTTTATTATTCTTTTGTTGATAAAGCTATAAACCACACATTAACTAAAACTTATAATTCCTTCACTATAATTAGAAGTAAATAACTTTTTATACTCTATAAAATAGAATGTTTCTGCTTTTAGTCTTTTAAAAAACATTTCATTCTTGTCCCTTAATTTTTTTTTTGTTTCATTTTCGTTCTTGTTATTAGATTGATCATTAAATTTAACAAAAGAAAAAGTCAACAAATTATAGAGACTAAAATAGAAAAACAAGAAAATGAAAGGGACCAACATAAAAAATAACCAAAATAAACAACAAACATTTGAGAGGACCAAAATAAAAGTAACTAAAATTAAAATGATCAAAACAAATTAACCTTATTTTATAGGGACTCGATATTTATTTAAATTAAATTTATAAAAATTAAATATCTAAATCAATAAATGTACTAATAAAGAATGCATTGGTGACAAAAAATAATTATAAAAATTAAACACACAATATATTTTAATTTTAATTATTTTCATTTTAATCCTCTTATTTCTAATTATTTTAAATAAATCCTCTTAATTCTAATGATTTTTGTTTTAGCCCTCTCAAATTTTATTTATTTTTCTTTTAATCATTTTCTATTTTGATCCATATATTTTTTATTCTTCAATTTTGTTCCTATAATTTTTTTCTCGTTAGATTTAATGGTCAATTTGATGGAAAAGATAAAAAAAGAAATTTACAGGAATAAAAATAACAAAATAAATTTTAAAGGACTAAAAAAGCCCTTGATCTATTTTATAAGAACTAAAGAATTATTTAAGCATTGTGATTAATATTCTTCTAATGTCGTAAATTACTTAATCACTAACGCGTCTTGGAAGGGTCACATATCTCTCAAACATGTAGTGTTAGGTGTAAGTTTAGATTTATGTATATTAAAAGAAATACTATAAAGATGAGCCGTTGCAAAGTAAATTAACTAACAGAAAACTTTATTTAAGATATCAATCTCTCTCAACTAACAAATAGAAGGGGTAGGGGGGAATTTGGTATATGTTCAAGACTATATGCCATGGGGACTTGTTTTTATATATAAGCATACCAAGGGGACTTAACCTATAAATATGCCACTTTAATTCTACTTTTTGAATTAGGCTTTGAAACAATGACGGTCAGTTATGGCACAAATTTCATTTCCTTCTAATGGCCACACATATATATAACCCCATGTTTATAACATGTTGACAATAGACAAGAAGAGCTTCCTATAAGTATGTGGTTAACACATGGTGCTGGCTTGGAAGTGTACCCATACGTGTAGCAACTACATTTACAAATTATTGGCCTCCTATAAGTATGTTTTCATGCATTACCCATTACTTTTTCTTTTTTTTTTTTACAAAATTTAGTTACATTATTAAGTTAATGCTATTTTTCAATTAGAATTTAAATTTTATTTTAGTAAATATAAATACAAACTTCAATAACATAAATTATATATACTATCAAGCTGAAACTTCAATTATAAATTAAAAATGGCATCCACTATACTTATGATAATGTAACTAAATTATGTCCTTAGGTCTTACTCCCTTCTCTCATGTTGGTTTGATAACTTTTTATTCCAATTATAATACTTAGACCAAATAACATATATGGTAACCAAGATATTATTATTTATAGTAGGAGTGCTCAAAATGATTGAACTAAAATAAATTGTATAATAACTACACTTAACTATTATAATAGTCCACTCAAATTAAACTAAATTA